CGCCTGGGCCAGGGCAGAGGCGCCTGCCTGCTCTGTGTGCTCGCCGTGGGCAAGGGGGCTCGCACAGTGCTTTTCCGGGTGGCGGTTGTTTATCCTCACCCGAGGACATCTGTCCATTGGTTTTTAGGGGGAGTGGAAGGGAGAGGGAATGACAGAGAGGAACGTCGATGTGAGAGACACACATCGATGGGTTGCCTCCTGCACGCGCCCCAGGACCCAGGCCGGGGAGGAGCCTGCACCCGAGGTACGTGCCCTTGACCGGAATCGAAACCACGACCCTTTAGTCCACAGGCTGACGCTCTATCCACTGACCTGAGCTGGCCGGGCCCACAGGCGCTTTTAAAATAAGTAAAACGATGACTGACTGCGTCCTGAAGTGCTCCTGGTGCAGACTCACCCGTGGAAAATGGGGGCACGTGGGTTCGTGGAGGCCGGGCTGGGCGGAGGGCTTACTCGGACCGTCTGCCGCAGGCGTTTTCCGAGCCTCCCTGTGCCCGGAAGTGAGAACCCCGAGGCCCGGAAGCCACCTGGGACCTGTTCTCTCCCAGGCGGGTCCCCTCTCCTTGGTGCTGGCATGCGAGAAGCCCTCCGTTCCTGTCACATCCTCGTAAGGTTAGAACCTGACCCAGGGGTTCTCAACCCGTGGGTCGCGACCTCTTTGGAGGTCCAACAACCCTTTCACAGGGGTCGCCTAAGACCATCGGAAAACACATCTATAATGACATATTGTGTTGGGGATTGATTGCTATGCTTTAATGATGTTCAATGTGTGACAATGAAATTGGGGGTCACCACAACATGAGGAACCGTATTAAAGGGTCGCGGCATCAGGAAGGTTGAGAACCACTGGTCTAGATGGATGTCAGGAATACGGAAAGTCCGCCCAGCCGCGTGGCTCCGTGGTCGAGCATCCACCTGTGAACCAGGAGGTCACGGTTCGATTCCCGGTCAGGGCACAGGCCCGGGTTGCAGGGCGTGGGCAGCCAGGAGTCACCAGGCAGCTGGGAGGGGGATCCCAAGCTCAGGCACAGGGAGGCTGGAGCAGGAGGCCAAGCG